CCTCCTCCTCCTCCTCCTCCTCCTCGCTTCCTCCTCCTCCTCCTCCTGCTCCTCCTCCTCCTTCTCCTCCCTACACTCTCCCGAGAGGGAGAGCGAGGAGGATCGGACGGTCCTTCCTGGACGCATCTGATCCTCCCCACCCTCCTCCTCCTCCTCCTCCTCCTCCTCCTCACCCCTCCTACCTCCACCTCCTCGCCCTTGCCTCGCCGGCCCTCGGTCGGTGCTGCCGGGCGCCCCGGCCTTGTCGGTGAGCCCCACGTCGGCCAGCAGGGTGGCGTGGGCCAACTTGAAAGGCTGGATCGTGGGGAAGAGCGTGTCCGCATTGCCGACCCGCACCGCGTACTCGAAGGCCTGGGCTACGGAGCGCAAGCGCACCCTGCTGATAAGACAAAGGGCACGAGCCCGAGCGTTCGGCGGACCGCGCGGATCTTTTGGATCGGCGCTGGAACGAGCGCACACTGGTAAGGAGACAAACGGCGCGACGACGTTCGGCGGACCGCGTGGATCTTTTGGACCGGCGCTGGACCCCCCCCCACCAACCCCCGCGGCGCCCCTGGCGCGCCAGGGAGGGAGGCCCATCGCCGATCCGAGGGATGGCCTCCGACGACTTCTGCTCAAGCGATTCCCTCTCCTTCGCACCTCGGCCTGTCGGGATTTTTTTGTTTGTTTTGTTTCTTTTTTGTTTTTCCTCCCCGCGAGGCTCCAGGTGCGTCGAAGCACAAGCGTCTATCTGGGAGATGGCCCAGACAGCATCGTGTTCGGGGAATCGTCGTCGTCGCTTTCGTCGTCGCTTTCGTCGTCGCCTTCGTCGTCGCCTTCGTCGTCGCCTGCGTCGCCTTCGTCGTCGTCGTCGTCGCCTTCGTCGTCGTCGTCGTCGTCGTCGTCGTCGTCGTCGTCGTCGTCGTCGCCTTCGTCGTCGTCGTCGTCGCCGTCGCCGTCGCCGTCGTCGCCGTCGTCGCCGTCGCCGTCGCCGTCTGGCCAGCCCGCGCCCGAAGGGCGGCCCGCCGACCCCCTCCGCCGCTGCGCGCGCCGCGGGCGGGGCGCGGCCTCGGACAGGTGCAGGGCGAGCGGCTCGAGCAGGCTCGCAAAGTTCTCGGGGCTCCGGTGCTCCACGCCCAGCAGGCAGACCTGTGCGACGCTCGAGGCCTCCTGCGGTCAGGTCGGGCCTGTCCCCCCCAAAGGGGGATTTTTTGGGTGGCAAAAGAAATAGTCAAACATACGCCAAACAAATGCTCGAACAATCGTCCCCAGACTACTTTTTGACTATTTTTGAATGTCCCTCGTGTAAAGGGACAGGCCCGACTTAATCCTCCTACGGAGCATTTTCCTTGGGTGGAGGGCAAAGGGTGAAATCTGAGTTGCCGTTTCGATGGATTTCCGAGGCTTGAATCTGCAGGCGGTGAATCACAAGACGGATCGGTTTCCGAGGTGCAAAAGCCCATATGGATTCCACCCTGAACCCTCCACCCTAAGAGAATGCTCAGTCCTAGATGGGGTCGGAGGATCGCGCCGCATCGCCGACACATCCGCGACATATCGGCGACGCATCGCCGATGCATCGGCGACATCGGCGATGCATCGGCGACTCCAGCGTGTAGAACATCGGGCTCCACATCGAGCTGCATCGCCGATGCATCTACGATACTGCGCGACCCTCCAGCCCCATCTGCTCGGACCCCATCCATAGGAAGCCCACAAAGGACGTACGCGCCCAGCTGTGTACATGAACACGGCCCCTCGATTCGCGAGACCGGCCGCGTTATACGAACATGTGTGCAATGCGTGCTCTCGAAACCAGCGTGGATTCATGTACATGTACGTTCTTCTTTCGCTCCTGAATCCAGGAGGCCCAGAGACGTGCGAGGGTGAGATGGGGGAACGCCTCGAGGCTTCGGGTTGGAGGCGTCGGGCGCGAGGCCCGAGGCCTTTGGACGTCCTCGTCGGCCCGCGGCGGTCTTCCAGCCTCGGGGCGCCCTCCAGCCGCTGCGCCTCGCCGAGAGCGCTCCGGGGGGTGCCCGGCTCGTCCTGGACGGCCGCCGGAGGGCCGAGTTATGAGCCAAAACCGCGGGGCAACGCCAGGGCTAGGTCGGGCATGTCCCCCCCCACAGGCGGATTTTGGACGACAGAGAACACATCTTTTAGATGCTCAACGAGCACCCCAAAGCATGCCAGAAAAAATCGCCCCCTGACGATTGTTTGATTATTCTTGCGTATCCCCCTGTAGAGGGACACGCCCGACTTAACGCCAGGGGAGAACGGGCTCCAAGAGGGAGGGCATATCGGCCTGGGATCGGCGATACATATCGCCGACGGATCGGCGATGCGCCCCCGGTGGCGCATCTGCACGTTCCTGGGCGGGGTGGGCTGTCGGGCATCCAGCGGCGATGAATGGGCGATTGTTTCGATCGATCCAGGCGTCGTCGAGTTTCGATCGCTCTAGGATATCCCGTCGTCGAGTTTCGATCGCTTCTGCCGGTCGTCGTCGTCGTCGTCGTCGGCGGCGGCGGCGTCGTCGAGCTTCGATCGGTTGGCGAATCTGCACGTTCCTGGGCGGGGTGGGCTATCGGGCATGTATCGGCGATTGTGGGTCGATGGTCTCCCTCTGAGCCTCCTCCCCCCCTCGAACGTTGCCCCTGAGCTCGCATAAGCACGCAGCCAGAGGGTTCTCCCACAGGGGACCTCGGATCAGGAGCGAGGCATCCTCTGGGCCTCAGATGCGCCGAGGTGCACGAGGAGTGCCAGGGAAGGGCCGCGGCCGGGGCACATATCCGAGGCTCGAGACACTTCAGCCTCCGGAGGCCTATTGCTGCCTCTGGTCATGCCGACGTGGACGCAAGCTTCTGACACCGCGCAGAGCGCTCAATCCTGAGCGCCCTCCGCTGACCGACGGGGGAGATCGCTCAACACTGGCCCGGTCCAGACCGCGGGCTGCTTTCAACATTGGGCGCCCGTGCCGCCGTAGCCGCCGCGCCTACGCGGCGCGAACCTGCCGTACCCGCTCGCCATCCCACGGAAGGGTATGGGACGCCGAGGTTCTTGAGCTGACATTCGGCTTGTGCACCCAAGTCCATGAACCTGTGGTGCTTTCGAAACGCCACGGCAGACACGACTAGTAAGAACCAAATATATCGGGAGGCCACAGCATGTATACACTGACGAGTTTGTGCTAGAAGATGGGCGAAGATGGGGGAGCCCAAACCTGACCGAACAAGAACGGGAGGCGCCGCTCTTCTCCACCTGGCTCGTAAGACGAAGAAACACAGAAGGGAGAGGAGGACGGCAAGGATGCGGACGAGGAGGAGGACCACGAGGAGGAAGACAAGCACAAGGTCGGTGACATGACGAGGACCACGAGCACGAGCAAGAGGAGGACGGCAACATCAATGGCCAAATGTTCCGCCACGTGGTGCTGGTGGTAGCGGGGATGGCCGCGGCGGCGGCTGGCCGTGTTGGCTGGAGAAGGCGGGTGGGAATGGCCATAGCGCCCAGCTGCGCTGCTGGCGGTGGTACAGCGCGACAGAGCCGGCCTGAGAGAACTGCGTGTTTTTTGGACGTCGAACTCGACAGCCAAAACACCTGAGAGGACTGCGTGTTTTTTTGGGCGTCGAATTCGCCATCCCCACCCAAAGCCTGAGAGAACTGCGTGTTTCTTGGAAGTCGATTGTCGGCCTCCAAGTGCACGCCATTCTGCCTGGACATTCAACGTCCCTTTTTTTCCGTCCGTCGGCGGCTAGGCAGAGTAGCTGCGTTGGCGGAGGAGCAGTCAAACTGGGAATACCGTTGAAGCGAATTGTGCCACAAGGCCAAACTACTTCCAACAACACGCAGCTCTCCAAGGACGCGCGGCAAGGACGTGAGGCCCCTGGGCCGGGGGATGGGCCGAGAGGCCAGGACGCAACGGCACCCTCGGAGGGTTGCTCGTCCTCAGGATTCGGTGCTTGGCCGTGGCCGAGGTGGTGCTGGCGGTGGGCCGTGGGCGGTGGGCTCGTGCCGTGCGCGCTCCTTGGACAGCGCGCGTCGCCGTCTTCCCCATGCACTTTGCTGCAGCCTCCGCTGCGCCTGCTTGTGGTCGCCGGCAGCCAGCTTCTCTGCATGTCGCGCCCCTCCTGGCGCACCTCCCCTGCAGCATGCGTCTACCAATCTCCGCCCTCGCAGCGCTGGGTTCGGCGTGTGGCACCGCTGAGAGCGTGCACCAGGCCTCCCAGATGGGGTCCGAGTAGATGGGGTCGGAAGATTGCACCGCATCGTCGATGCATCGCCAATGTATCGGCGATCCATCGGCGACGTCGGCGATGCATCGGCGACGTCGGCGTGGAGGAAATCGGGCTCCACATCGAGCCGAATCGCCGATGCATCGGCGATGCGGCGCGATCCTGCGACACCATCTGTTCGGGCACCACTTGGGAGGCCTAGAGCCGTGCACGCTCCCTGCACCGCAAATGGGGGAATCCTATGGTACCGATACCTCAACTTCCCGGACTTCTCCTGGGGTGCGTTCTGACCAGAACTTCGAGGCGACTCCAGCAGCGTGCCAAGGGGGGCGCCGGAGGCGCCGCTTGGGGGTCCCCCAGCGGACCTCCGAACTTTTTTTGTGTGTATGCCACTTTGTGCCCCCCCTGGCACGGAGCCGCATCCCAGGGGGCACGGAGGACCAGGCTGGACGGCGCGTCGACGGCCTCCAGGGTCCGCTCCTGCGCGCGGGCGGCCGGGCGCCGAGAGGCAGGCCGCGGACGCCGGGAGCGCCGAGGGCTGCGGCCCGCCCGACGGGGGCAGGCGGTGCGAGCGAGCGGGGCCGACTCCCCGACCTCCGTGCGGCTGGTTCGCGTCGCGGTGTCGCGGGCGTTGGTTTCTGACGCCGGGTGGATTGCTCACAAGGGGGAGCAAGCAGTGCCATAGACTTACAAGCTCTGAGGTTCGCGCGGAGCTCTCGGATCAGCGCTGGACCCCCCCTCCCTGGCGCGCGGAGCGCGGAGCGCGCCGGGGGCGGCGCCAGAGGCGCCGCCGGGGGGGCTCCAGCTCCGATCCGAGGAATCTGCGCGGACCTCCGAGTTTTTGGGTTTGTGACATTGTTTGCTCCCCTAGGTCCACCATGATCAGAGGGACGTAAGACCTGGGTACAGGGGACTCGGAAATCCCCGACGAGGTCGTCAGAAAAATGACGAGGCCGAGCCTGCATTTTGACGAGGCCTCCCGCTGCAGACATCCCACGAAACTCCTCCTCGTCAAAATCCGAGGCGCGGTCGTCAAAAAACGATGGCGAACCCGAGTCCTGGCAAACCCGGGTCTTACGCTCCCCCGACATGAACGATCGCGGCTCTCCGATAGCGCAGGTCGCTCGACATCGGCCGATGCCGGGCCACTGGCGGCGCTCGACCTGGAGCGCCCGCGCGGGGGCCGCCGCCGCTGCCCGGAGGTGTGGCCGCCGCGGCCGCCGCCGCGGCCTCCCAGACCGACACGGCGGTTTGGCTCCGGGGCCGGGAGGCCCGTGACGGAGGGCGCCAGATACTCGCCGAGGGGAGGAGAAGCAAGCTCGGGGCCGCGGGGGGAGAACAAGCGATTTGTGCCAGCGAATCGTGCGTGGGATGCATGACGAGGAACAAGGAGGTCGTCGTCGTCGTCGTCGTCGTCGTCGTCGTCGTCGTCGTCGTCGCGCGAAGACGACGGCGACGGCGACGACGACGACGACGACGACCGGGTCATGGCTTGCGCTTCGCAAGCTATCTTGGGCAAGAAGAGCCCTGCGCTGAGGCCGTGCCCCCCTGGCGCCGCGAGGGGGATGCGGCGCCAGTCCGCCTCTCGGACCCCGGGGCCCGCCACGGGGAGCAGTGCACGGCTGGGGCCGCGGGGGCGGAAGGAGATGGCTGGCGCTCCCGAGGTGCAAGCCTCGCGGCCTGGCAAGACAGCACTAGAATGAGGTCGGGCATGTCCCCCAACAGGGGGATCTTGGACGAAAAGTCAAAATAGTCAAGAAGTATCCAACAATAGCCAACGCATACAGAAAATCGTACCCAAACTATTTTTGACTATTTTTGAATATTCCTCCTGCAGAGGGACAGGCCCGACTTCACACTAGAAAGAGACACCACGCCACATACGTAAACTTTTGGGGCGCTCCGCACTGATTTCTTGGCTCTGCGCTGGGTCCTCCTCCCTGGCGCGCGGAGCGCGAGGGGTGGCGCCGGATGCGACGCCGGGGGGCCCAGCGCGGATCCAAGAAATCCGCGCGGAGCGCCAAAAATTTACGTTCATGTTCTTCGACGCATGGGTCCCGAAGGGCGACCCGACACGGCTGGAGGCAGCCAGAGGCCGCACCCACGGCACCCGCCGAGGCAGCCCAACGGGCTGCTGCACCGCGAGGAGCCCCAGAGCACCCCGCCCGAGCCGAGCCCCCGCCTCCCCCCCACTCCGTCCCCCTTGGCGGCGCGCACAAGGGGGTAGGGGGAGGGGGGAAGGCTTCTTAGAGGGAAGCTGCTTGCTGCTTCTTAGAAGGCGCGGGCCTTACATCTACTGGTAAGGCCTGCGCCTGCTAAGAAGCAGGGGTGCTTCTAAGAAGCCTTCCCCCCTCCACCTTCCCCCCTCTGTGCGTGGCCGACCCCCGCTGGAAATTACGGGCCTCGGCCGGAGCTTTGAGCTGTCGCATCGCCCGGGTTCCGATCGCTTGCGGTCAATGCTTCGCTTGGACCTGGACCCCTCGAGCTGGAACGGAAAAGAAAATGACCCCGCCGCCTCCAGCGACCAGGCGAAGCAAGAGCCTCTCCCACGGAATTTGGAAACCTGGAAGCCGAGGTGACGTCGGGCTGCTGCCCGCCTGCTTTCCAAGGACAGGCCGCGACGAGAACCCGTCAGTCGGAAGTGGTAGGTAGAACCATGAAGTATCAAGGCGCTGGAAGCAGGTCGGGTTTCCGCCCGCCCCCGAAAGAGAAGGGAAGTGGGAAGAACACTCGACTCTTGAAATGGGAAGGCGGCAAACATAGATTGGGATCTGGGAATCCAGAAATACCTACTTCCAACGACCGGCGTGAATGTGTGTGTGTGTGTGTGTGCATATCGCGCTTTTCCCCCTGCTTACCGTCCCGCCCAACTCGCGCGCTGCCTCTTGGGCATGGTCGATTTCGGTCTCTCCGCTGGCGACCTCAACAACGCATTTGGCTATACCGAGGTCCCCCTCGGCCTTGCCGCCCCCTGCAACGTCAACGGCAGGCCCTTCCGTGACGCTGCGCTCGCCTACCCTGACGTGTCCACCGAGGACCTGGCAGACTTTCGCGCTGCCATGGGAGGCTGCCTCGAGGCCATCGTTCGCCTCGCCATGCACGCGCCAGGCGACGCACTCCTCGACAACCCCGGCAGGCGAGAGGCCATCACCGAGCTGGTCTGAGACGAGACGGACCCCGACGACCGCGCCTTCCGGGCCTTCAGCGATCACCCTCAGCTGCTCCTTCATGACGGCCCCCTCGGCGAACCCGAAATATGCCAAGCCTGCCTCGCCCTTGAGGGGTCGCGCCCGTGGAAGCAAGGCCGTAGAACGACCCCGAACCTCCTGCGCCCCCAATCCTTGCCCGTTTCCGCGCGGGCGCCCAGGTTGGCTCCCCAGTGAGGAGCGCGAGCACCAGCGGCCAGGCGCGCGCGCCAGCCGCCCCCTCTATTCGGCCACCCCAGAGGGTCGGGCGGGCGCCAGAAGGTGGGGCAAGCGCCTTCTTGCGCCTGGGCAGAATGCGCCGTCAAATTTTGCGCCCGGGGGGAGACTCAACGCGCGAAACTCGATGCTTAGTATCTTCGAATGTTTGCGCCCGCCCGAAGCGCATGGCGGGCTCATTCTTGCGCCCGGGTGGTCAACAAAATGCGCGCTCATTTTTTTAGAGCAGGGCCAAGCACAGGTCGAAGACCGTTCAAGAGCGCGGCCCGCTGCCCCTGGAGCGCGGCCTGCGTGCACGCCATGAGGGGTGTGCCGAAGTGGGCCGTGCGAGTGGGTTGACTCTGGCGCCGCTCCTCGAACCGAGCGCGGCGCCTCGGGATTTCGTGCCCCCTCCCCCTCCTCCCTCCAAGTTGGGGGGGTGGGGGGGGCGCGGACAAGGGCCTCGAGGATCCTCTTCCTCCTCCTCCTCCTCCTCGTCCTCCACCCCTTGTCTTTTTCCTCTGCATCGAAGGCGTGCGCAGATCGGTGCGTCGACCGAGCGCACCTGGAGCGTTTTTTTCGCTCAGGACCCTCGAGGCGACGGTCGTCGCGGCGTGCGCCGCGCGCGGGCGCCAGGAGGTTTGAGATCCCCCCTCCCTCTCCGCGGCGTTCTGGGTCCGAAGTGGCCCGTCCGCCTGGGGCGGGAGGGGGACTCGATTGCACGGGGGGGGCCGAACCCACCCAGGATCAGGTCGGGCGTGTCCCCCTACATGAGAATTTTCGACGAAAAAAAAATCATACCTAACACATGCCTAACAATTTGCAAAAATCGTCAGAACATCGTCCCCACTTTTTTTGGTTTATATATATATATATATATATATATGTAAAGCTATGTTTTGGAATATCCCTCCTGCAGAGGGACATGCCCGACTTAACCCTAAGATCGCCGTCGGGTCGACACGAACCGAGCGTGTGATTGTGTGTGTGTGACTTCAGAACGGCCTGCCGATGCATACGATAACAAACTAACATCACGCGCGAAAGCCTCTCACACCGCGGAGCGCCGAAAGGCCTTGCCGATCCTTTCCCGGGCGCTGGGGCGGGTGAGGGGAGCCCCAAATCGGGGGCGCGCAAACATGGATTAGCGATCCATGGAGATGTGGCGCGCGGTCGCCAATTCCATGGGTCGGGGGAGGTGCCCTCCCCAAGATGCGGCCGGTGCCGCCTCGTTCGGCGGCGGAAATCCGCGAGTTCCCATGGAAACGGGACCCGTCCCTGATCCGCGACCCTCCTCCTCCTCCTCCTCCTCCTCCTCCTCCTCCATGTTTGCGATCCATGTCTGCGATCGCCTGACCAAAGCGGGGGACTGGCCCAGGGGGGGGGGAGACAGCGGCCTGGAGCCGCCCACGCGCCGCCGACGGCTCGGCGACGGGCCCCCGACAGCGAAGAGGACACGGGCTCCCGGGGGGGGGGGGCAGGGGGCCCCACAGCCCCGACCGGCGACGACAAGGCGATCCGGGATCGACTCTTCCCTTCACTCGGGCCTCTCCCCCTACAGGCGGAAACTCTGTAGTCGATGCCCCACTCGAAACCACTGGTCGCGCGCGCTCCCCCGTGAGCAGCTGGCACAGGTGGGCGCCGAAGGTGTCGCCCTCCCTGCAGAGGCCCGCCGCGAGGTCCTCCAGGAACCTCCCGGGGGGCCAGGGTCGGGGGCGGGCTCGCCGCTGGGAGGAGGAGGAGGAGGGGGAGGAGGAGGGGGGGAGGAGGAGGGGGAGGAGGAGGAGGAGGAGGAGGGAGGAGGAGGAGGAGGAGGGGGAGGAGGAGGAGAGGAGGAGGAGGAGGAGGAGGAGGAAGAGGTGGGAGGAGGAGGGGGAGGAGGAGGAGGAGGAAGGAGGAGGAGAGGGGGGGGGAGGAGGAGGACATCATGAGGGGGCCCAGGGAACCACACAGAAATAGGCGCAAATCCCCAGATGTCCATGTTTTGCCTTTTTTGTATAGAGTTTCGTCTTCCCCTCCACGTCCCATGTTTTGCGCCATCTTCATAGGCATCTGCGCTTATTTGTGCCTGTGCCTATTTTTTCTCCGGATCTCAGGAGGGAGGAGGAAATACATTAGACACATACGATCCGAAATCAAAGGATACCTACCTCGACGAACTCTGGGCTTCCTGATGTGCCCATGGCCTCCCTGGGCCCCACGGGCCCTCGGGCGGCATCTGCTGGCAGGCCAGTTTTTCTCACTTGAGGCGCCTGCCATAGGAGACTGGGAGGAGATGGCGAGGAGGGGGGGTGGCGAGAGAGGGATGAGGGAGAGAGAGAGGCGAGAGAGGCGAGAGAGGACGGGGAGGGAGGGAGGGCTGTGGCGAGATCAGGAGAGGTGCCGAGAGAGGGATGGCTGGCTGAGAGGGGCGCGCGGGGGGCAGCGGCCCCCTCGCCCCCCGTGGGAGCCCGAGGTCCGCAGCTCGAGGCTCGCAGGAGGGAGCAAGGGACAGTGCGCAGGGCGCTCGAGTGGGCGACGAGCAAGAACGAGTCTGACGCGAGATGGCACAGCGACCTGCCGCCGTCGCTCACGCGGGCCGCGCGTGCGGCACGCCACCTTGGAGAAGAAGGCACTTGCGCGCACCCTTGCGCGGGCAACCTGCGCGCCAGTGTCGGGGCAGACGGCACCTCCTTTTTTGCGTCGCTCCAGCGGGTTGCCCTGCTCACGCCGAAACTAGAGGCTTCCTAGATGGGGTCGGAGTAGACGCCGTCGGAAGATCGCGCCGCATCGCCGATACATCGGCGACGTGGGCGATGCATCGGCGAAGTCGACGTGAGGCAAATCGGGCTCCACATCGAGCCGCATCGCCGATGCATCGGCGATGCGGCGCGATCCTCCGACCCCACCTGCTCCGACCCCACCTAGGAGGCCTAGAGAAACGGACCAGGAGCGATCGGAGCGAATCGTGCTTGTGACACCACGTCAGTGATGGCGGCGAACGAGGGGGGGGGACATGAGGAGAAGGTCTTCTCGGAAGGCGGGAGGGACTTATCAGAAGCCCCCGCGCCCTCTGAGAATGTTTGCCTGTCTTCGGGGAAGGCTTCGACCCCCTTCTCCGGAGGCCGGGGGGGCTCCCGAGACCTCCTGAAAATGGCCGCCCGCCCCTCCTCACTGCCTCCCCTCGCTCGCCGCCGACCATCGTGACAGCGAGCTTTCTGTTGCCCCCATCGTACTTAAGGACCACATCCCAGAATTATTCCGAACACCCAGAAAAGTATCGAGAACATGTCGAACGAGTATCGCCTCCCAGGGCACGGCACGTGAAAACCCTAAAGTTCTAGTACTTTCGTGGTGCTCGAAGTTCTTTCTGGTGATCAAGGCTAAAGTAGGTTGGAACATCATAAAGCGAGCTGATATGATTCACTCCAGTGGCCGATGCACGCGCGTCACTCACGTTCGGTGCATGCTTTGATTATGTGCTGAGCTGTTGTTCAACAAGGGCATACCTGGATGGAGCATGGCTTCGCTTGCGTACAGAAGTCGCACATCGCTCTTACCAAGCATTCGGGGCCTCCCAGTGGCTGGGACTGACGCTTCTTGACATCGCAGGCGGGATGCCTGTTTTTTAAGGAGTGGGCGTGACAAACATGCTTTGATATTGTTTGGCAGACACCCCACGTACAGCGCGCGAACAGCCGCGTACATTTGACCCTTCGGCCTTGACTTACCCGTCTGGCCAAACGGTGTAGAAAGAAGATAACAGAAAGGAACGACAACACACATATGGATGCACAACACAACCTAATCTACTCGACCTTGTTGGTTCACTACTGCTCCCTCTTCGTTATAGGAGCGCCGGACCGTATTTTCTGCGACTCTGCCTTCTGTTGCAGTGAGGCAGATTTTCACCGATAGGTTCAGCGTCAGGAGCTTCTGTCCGTGACCAATGTGGCTCAAGGGTAAAACACCTAGTCTGTCTCCGTCTGCCACAGTTGGTAGCGGAGCGTGGCCCGGGGCGAGGTGCCATGGGCGGAGGCGACCCTGCCACGAGGTAGGCGGCCTCCCGCTCGCGCGCCCTCGCCCGCGGCTGCGCTCGCACCGACGAGGTAGCGTGGGATCCACGGCCAGGTGATCATGCCCGCCGACGGCGAGGCCGGGACGGAGGCAACGGACTTTCACGTGGGCACTGGCAGCCAAGATGCTCCAGGCAGCAGTTCGGGCAGCCAGAATGCCACGGTGACCATCCGACGCGAGGAGCTCAGGGATTTGATCAAGAGTGTAGTGTCAGAGACTATGAGATCAGGAGCTCCAGACACAGGAGGTCATCGAGGTGTCGTCCGCGAAGAACAGTCTCACGACGAGTGGCACGACACCGGCAAGGACCCCTGGCGAGAAGGCCGCGATCGAGGAGCGCCCAGTGGTGGGCGCGAAGCTGGAGGCGACAGCATCCAGAGAGATCGTCGAGATGGAGATAAGGACGCCAGAGGAGAAGGCCGGTGGCGCGACCAAGGCAGCGGCTGGGACAGCCGCGACGGTGGCCAGGGCAAGTCCGGGCCCGCGGAGGCCTGGGGCTCAGGCGACTGGGACGGCGGCTGGACGGACCGCCGGAGATCGGCGTGGGACGGCGGAGACGGCGGAAGCTGGGGGGGTCGAGGTGACTTCAGCGACCCACCCAACTGGCCCGGATGGGCCCACTACCGACAATGGAAGCGAGCGCTCAGGCGCTGGAACACGAACACAGATGTGAAGCTGTGGAGGCGTGCCGAGAAGTTCCTCAAGCTCTTCGAGTACAGCTTCCAAGCCAAGTTTGAGGACATCAGTGAGGATAAGCTGTGCTCGACGGAGTGGATCGACGTCATCCTGCAGCGCATGGACCTCATGGCCGGCGAGCGGGAGGGCGACGACCTCCGGCGCGCCGGCAGGAAGGCCTTCTTCGAGGCCTCCAGAGAGGCGAAGGAGGGACTGACGCAGTTTGTCCACCGACGAGAGGCACAGCTCCAGGAGGCCGAAGGCATGGACCTCTGGATGAGCTCCAAGCTGAAGGGGCTGTTGCTAGAAGAAGGGGCGGGTCTATCGGCGCAGGGAGTCCAGAACCTGCGAACCTTGACCCAGGGCAGGACCGACTTCGAGCACGTGGCCTGGGCGCTGAAGCAGATGGACGCTGGAGGAGCCGAGCGGCTCCTCCCCGGCCGCAGCGGCGCGGCGCTGATGGCAGAGAGTGAGGGCCTCGGCCCAGGCGCTAGTGAAGCCGCGAGCAGTGCTTTTCAGGCCTCTCTCCCCCCTCCCTCCGGTCGGTCAGAGGTAGGTGTCGACGGTGAGGAGGACGACGCCAACTACTACGACTACGACGAGGAGGTCGAGGGCGACTCGGGAGACGAGTCTGCCTGGGACGCCGAGGCGCTGCTCGCGGAGCTGGAGGACCTGAACCTGTGCGAGGACCAGCTGGAGGAGTTCTGGGTCATGATGGAGGGCAGGCGCCCGGCGGGCAGGACGTGGAAGCAGAACAAGGAGCTGAAGAGGGCGGCCCGGAAGGACCGCGAGTACTTTGGCGTGAAGCCGAAGGCAGGTGATCGGCACCCACCACGTCGCCCTCCGCCTCCTCCGGCGGGAGCACCCCGAACTGGAGGTTCCAGCGGCCGACGCGATCGAGGGGCACCCGGCAGAGGTCGGGAAGGTCGAGGCATCCGCGGCAGACTGACGATCGAGCAGCAGATGAAGGTGACGAGATGCAAGCGGTGCCAGCAGAAAGGACACTGGGGACGAGAATGCCCGAAGTTCGGGGACCACGTCGGAGGCGGTCAGGCCGGAGGGGACCAGCGAGCCCGTGCCGGAGGAGAGCGACAGAAGATGTCGGCCTACATGTTCGAGGGCTTCTCCGGCGAGAGCTTTCCCATGTGGAGGGACGAGGCCGACCAGATCTCCTCCGGGGCGGTCTACATCGTGGCAGAGGCGGACCAGGCGCTCGTCGATCCCGGGGCCGGGAGTGACTTAGTAGGGGTGCAAGCACTCAATCGTGAGGCCCAGGCGCTGGCTACTCACGGGCTGACGTACGTCGAGATCCCCAGGTCTCATCGTCCTCTCAAGGCGGCCCACGGGATCGGCGGCATGGGCAGAGTCATCAGCGTGGTGCTGTTTCCGCTGTGCCTGGGAGGAGTGTTCGGGATCATCGAGACCACCGTGTTGGCGGATAACGTGCCACACATTCTTTCGGTGAATTTGCTCGATTTCCTCAAGTGTCTGATCGATCTGCCAGGCAACGAGATGACCTCCCAGACTTTGGACGAGGTGATTCCTTTGACTCGCCTCCCTTCTGGTCATCGCCTGGCGCAGATAGTTTGCAAGCTAGCCACGCCCGCCTGCGTTCCCGACTCGGCGCTCAGGCGCTATCCGTTTTTGAAGAAGGACTCCTTTGAGATCGGGGGCAGAGCGCCCCCCGTGATGTCTGACGACGGGGTTGTGTCGCAGTACCTGCTCTCCCTCTCTCTCCTCGTTGTCGTCCTCAGCATCAGTACGATAGGGTGGGGGACTTACGTGGGGAAGCTCGGGGACCGTCGGGAGAGCTCAGATAAGTTCCAGGGGAAGGTCTTGGGCGGCCTCGGGTGGCCACGAGCTCAGCTAGCGTCAGATCACAAGGCCGGGGCCTCGGGATCAAGTCAAGCTAAGGTGAAGGGCCGACGGCCTCAAGCACGAGCAGGACCCAGGAGGGCGAGTTGGGTTCTCGTTGCGTTGCTGGTGCTGCAGACTCTCAGGCGCAGAAGCTTTCAGCTGTACACGTTCCTCAGATCAGAGCGAGCATTCAGGAGGGTCAAGCGATGCCGCCTGCACTCTGGCTGTCGTGGATCCTTTTCCAGCAGGTCATGGGAGGCAAGACCGAGCCGAGAGCGAAGAAGGCGACGGAGGAGTTTCTAGCCCGCCGTCGGAACGAGTCGGAGTCAGAGGTCTCTCTCGAGTCCTCGGCCGATACGGAGATGCCCGGCACCTTCGTCAACCCGATGGCCGAGATCATGGTGCCGCAGCCGGGGCCAGGACCATCCAGTGGGCCCGGCAACGGTTCGGCGGCCTCGGCGGGAGCCGCAGAGGCTCAGGCGCAGCTGGACCCAGCAACCGGAGCGCCGCCCTCGATCGACCAGCCGCTGTGGACAATAGAGGCGGCCCATCCACCCGCGTCACAGCCAGCAGCGGGCGGGGTCCCCGCCCCGGCAGGACTCCCTCCTACTCAGCCTCGGCAGCCGCCCG